GACATCAAATGTATTTCTGTGAAATCACCTGGACCTCACCTGGAGCTCATTAGCTGAATCATTGCTGAGCTCATCCTGAGTTCTTAATGAGATCATTTGTGAAATTAATTTCACACATAATTATAATTGAGGTTGGGTTTTTATAACATTTGATGCAATTTTTAGATTACACAGTTCGGCTTCCATTAAAAAGGTGTACCTTTTAAACTTCGATAAAATAAACCGTTTCCGAGATATTCGAGATTACAATAATTGTTATATTGCATTATTTAAAAGGATTAAAAAGTATATGATAACAAATTTTATTTTTTAATTGAAAAACTAAAAAGGGCATTCCATGAGCCTCGGCACTTTTTGCCCTGAACGTCACATTAAAAAAATTGTAGTTTTTTCAATTAAAAATTTGTTATCATATATTTTTTAGTCCTTTAATGCGATATAGCAATTATTGTAATCTCGAATATCTCGGAAACGGTTTATTTTATCGAAGTTTGAGAGGTACCTACACCTTTTTAATAGTAGCCGAACTGAGTAATAGAAAAATTGCATCTAATGGTATAAAAACCTAACCTTAAAGTTTGTATGGGAAAATAAGCTTAAGCAACCCCTGTTTCTGCGACATTGTGTTCACTTGAACAATTGTAATTATGTGTGAATATGTGTTTTGGTAGTAAGTGACTGTTCGCAAAATATCACCTTTCCAAGTCTACCATAGTAGAAGTTATATATAGATTAAAAAAACTGATATGATAAGTAACACTTCATCACCCTGTATCTTTTAAACATACGTAATTAGGAAAAATATTTATTTAGATTTTCGTCTTATATTGACTTGCTTAATCTGCTTAATTTATGCCACTAAGTTTAGGGACACCTTGCATAAATTCAATTTGGGTTGAGAAACATCCATTTTATTGTACAGGGTGAGCAAAAATACTGATTTTCAAAATTTTTAAATATTTTTTTTTGAAGCGCTAAAATAAAGAGATGGTAAAGAGAAATCAAACAGTCAAATGAAGTTTTTTCATATGAGATATTTGATATTGAAAATTAAAGATATTAGTTTTCAAATTTTAACAAATAATTGTAGACATTGTAGACATATCAGTTAAAAGCAACATTAAGTCATAATCACAAAATCAGATAGCAGTCAGTTTCTACAAAATAATAGGACCACTCGAGTTAAGACCTGAATTGATTTTATTTTTAATAACAAATATCTTAGTAACAACAACTCACATGAAAAAACTTTATTTGGCTTTTTGGTTTCTCCTTACAAGCTCTTCATATTAGACTTTAATTTTGCAAAATCTACAATTAAGTAAAATCATTAATGACATCCCTTTGATTTCATAATGAATTCATTGTGTGACTCATTAAGGATTTCACGTTGCTCATCAAAAGTGCAACACTTATGCATGCCACAGTGACATCACTGAATGAATCAGCAATGAGTTCACGTTGGTGTCACAACGAATTCATCGTGTGACTCATTAAGGATATCATGTTGCTCATCAAAAGGGGAACACATATGCGTGCCTTAGTTACATCACTGAATGAATCAGCAATGATTTCTCGTTGATGTCTTAAATGATGTCATAATTGTTATCTGGGTTGGTTTTAACTACATAATAATTACCATATTATGGTTTCCACATTCGCAAGGCACCTGGTATATACAGAATAGTATATTATGTAACAAGTTTGGAATACAGCATATTCCGCTCGAGTGAAGAGTTTGTCACACGAGCCGAAGGCGAGTTTGACGGTTTCACGAGAGCGGAATATGCAATTCCAAACGTGCTTCAGACTATATTTTTTCTACGTTTCCAAAAAATTCCATAAAAAATAATTTAATTGGAAGAAAGTGAGGTTGAAACGGTCTAAAATTTGTTAGATATTAAAAACAGAGATGTCGCCACGAGTGTTTATTCTGTCATCCGATGATAGAATATTTAATTCTGTAACACTTTACGGAATATATGTCATTCCATAGATAAAAGTAATATTAGAACGGTCAAATTCCGTAATAGGGAGTAGAAAAATCTTTTCTCGTGTTTTTCTCGACATCCGCAGATTTATGGTTTTGTGGCTTGATTTCCTTGACTTATACTAGGACGATATGCGAACCTAATTTTGTACAAATACGCGGACACCGCATGATACAAATTTGAAAATGTTGATCAAATTTGTTTTTTAAGGGATATATTTCCAGAGATAATTCAATTCCTGTCAAAAAAGGAAGCTTAAAAACAGCCATAATAAGAAAGCCCAAAATTGTACAATGTCAACATTGCACATCTTGTATGTCCGAAATGTGTTGTTTTTAATTAAAATATTAGGTTTTATCTCATCAACCCAACCCAACCCAACCCAAACCAACATGGTTGGTTAGTTGATTGGGTTTGGTTTGGTCGTGCTTTTGGTTGGGTTGATGATATATAACCTAATTTGTCATGTGAGCCTGTACAGTAGGGTGGAGCGAAAAAATTTTCTTTTAAAATGTAAAACGCCTGTGTACAATAGGTGCCTATTATAAACCTAAGTAAGTGGTAAAAATCTGGGTTTTGTAAAATGTTTTGGCTGGTAAAATAGGTTTTAATTTTTAAAATAGGGTTTTTTTTACTTACAATTTTTGGCAGTATTCTATAGTATAGTACTATAGATCTATAGATCAATTATTATGGTATCAATTATTATAAAAACTATTTCTATGACCTAAAGGTTTACCACAAAAAGATCAGAGGTACCGCCGCGGCAAAGAAAACAAATACACAGCGGCGACAGTCGCCGCGCGCCGTAACTGTCGTTTCTGTGAATAAACTCTTTGTTTAAGAAGTATTTTATTAGTAGTCCAGGCAACATGTGTGAAGTTTAGTCCAGTTAAAAGTGTACTGAGAACAAAGAAGATAAATTAGTTTTAATTATTGTTTGCGATTATGTTCTATAGGATATTAAAATATGCCCAAAACACGTATGGTGTGTCCCATACGCAGATGTAATAAAGTATTATTTATAGATTAGGTTTGAGAAATTAACAGAAAACAAACAAGAACCCAATGTAAGTGTAGTTTGCAAGCAGTTGATTGAAAATTTAAAATCAATATGGCAGAGGAGCTCTATTTTTCCAGTAATCTCAGATCAGCTAATTTTAAGCTTAATTAAACAATATCTTACTAAATATAGAGCACTTAAGAAGAGGCTTACAACAAAATATAAAGATAAGCATAAGCATTTAAGAAATCCGCAGAGAACAAACTTTTTGATATCGCAGTTTGCAAATGTAAAGACTTCTTGACTTGCAAATGCCAAATTAAGATACCAAAACTTGAATGCGATTTTCTAATGGACCAAAGAACGGTCCGAAAAATGTTAATCGGCAACGTAGACACCGAAACATCAAAAAGAAATAAAAAAAAATGATGGAACGTAAAGCAAAGAACCTAGCTAGATAAACATTATTACAGGAAGAAGACCCAAAGGAAGAAATATTACAACCTTTTACACTTCTACACAGTTTACTTCTAAACAATTTAGTTTGCCAGCGTCACCTACTTTAATAAATCATTAATACAGCTTTTACGACAGTGTCGATTTAAGTAAAATCGTGGCTGTTGGTTGTGATGGAACGGCGGTAAACACCGCCATCATTCGAAAACTGGAATTGGATCTAGAAAAACCATTACAGTGGTTTGTATGTTTTCTGCATACAAATGAGTTGCCACTACGCCACTTACTAAGTTTCCTAGACGGAAAGACTACCGGCGCTACCGGATTTATAGGAGCAATTGGAAAGGCTCTTGAATCTTGTGAACAATTATCTGGTACAAAGTTTAAAATAATTGAGACTTCATTACCCACCGTTGACTTACAAGTACTCAGTACAGACCAAAGATATATGTGTGAGATATGCCAAGGAATTTCAGTGGGGAATTTACCAGTTGGGTTAGCTGAGAGGGCGCCTGGAAAAATGTCCCATGCCAGATGGCTTACGAAGGGCAATAGAATTGTACGCTGTGTGCTGATTTGATATTAAATGCAATTGGTCCTTAAAAATCCTTCCCCCCAGATTAAAAAAAATCATCGATCCGGTAATAGAAAGAAATAGTTATTATGCACATTCAGACGATGCGTGAAATTTGTGACGGAAGCTTCTAATGCAGTTTGTGGGCCGAAGCACGAGATGGATTTATAAGGGCTCGTATTGAATCCAGAGAAGTACTGCCTCAGTTCGAAACAAAAAAACATTTTTTACAGGTTTTATAACTTAAAAAATATTTAAAAATTCTTTAAGGGTTGGAACTCGACGTTCAACCACCTCCACGTGGTGAGTTCAGGGTTGTTTTTATTCAAAGAAAACAAGCTTAGAGTTTCATTTTTAGTTTTACTGAAATTTTGCGTTTATTACATTATTTTTCAATTTTTAAGGTCATTTTACCAGCCAAAGATGATGTCGTAGGGAACCTTAATTTTACAGGGTTAATAAGTAACACAAAAGGCATCTATTGTATACCCAGGCATCATTACTTTTGAAAATTCGTTAAATCATGCCCATTTTCGCTCCGCCCTACTGTACAGTGCTGACACTGGCCAGCCCACGCTGTACATAGTTCATCAAAAGCAAGCTGTATAGATGCAAAGAAAATTTTGTTAAAAGTTAAGGACAATAGATAAATTCATATATTTATCTTAAAATATAAATTTATATAACCATATAATATAATATATATAAATATTATATTGCCAAAAGTCACTAACTAACTGAAATTTTGTGAAAATGTTAACTAATTGTACCTAACTATACAAATGTACTATATCTTTAATACATGTTTAAAAACCACTATATGTCTAGAACATTAAAAAAAATGTTTTGTATAGTTGGTCATTAAATTGCTAATTTAATTATAAAATATTAGTGACTTTTTGCAGATTACGACCTTACATATATAATAATATAGTATGACTTATGTGAGCTTTGTCAACCAGTAAAAATAAAATACCTAGTAATGGTATCCATGGATGTATCCAAGTATGAATAGGAATAGTATCTGTAAGTGGATTCCAGGAATTAACTTCACTAAGAATTTTAGGCATTACCAATTTATCCATAATATTTTCCATTACCCATTCTGAAATAACGTTTTTCCACGCTTCCAAAAATGATATTAACGAGTCACAATCCCTCGGGTTCCAATTGCTGTCAAATAATTTTGGTTCATTGTCTTATCATTAAATAGAAAAATACATTCTGTCAAAAAAGTACCGGCAATTTATTATTTAAAAACGCCTCGTTATTTTGATACAAAAAAATGATGTAAAGATTAAGCCCCTCGCAAAAATTTAAATTGGTCTCTCAATTTTACCTCATTTTCGGGACAAATTGGTATTTTTTTGACAGAATATGAAACAGAAACAGAATAGTGAAATCCCTGCTTAAAATACCCCATAGAGACCCTGTTCAAACCGATAGATATTTGTATCGGAGTGTATGGTATTCTATAGGGTGTATCGGTATGTATAGGACCCATAGTTGGGATTTATGGTTGTTCTATAGGGATATCCACCCTTGATTTATTTGCTATTGGTTTCAATGGGGAAAATACACATAAATGTAGAAATTAGTTTTTTCCCATAGGACCCCATAGGTTTTAATAAAATTTTGTCAAATGTTTTAGGGAGTTTCTATAGGGATATCTCTATATATTCTTCATTGAGTTATTTGCTATCGGTTTCAATAGGAAAAATGTAAAAGTTATGGTGTACCTATAGGTAATTTCCTATAAATTTTCTATCAGGCCGTATCCGCAAATAAACATGGACAAATGCACATATTGAATCCGGTAGCGCCCAAAAGATTATTTATATAGGTCTCTATGGGGTATTTTAAGCAGGGATTGCAATTTTTAATAAATAAATAATAATAAATAGTTTATACAAGGAGCCTACACAAGGGTACAAACTCAATAGGGGGAATTGACAGAACCTTCCTACTATATTGCACAAATTACGTCTTCTTCTTTTACCACTAGCGGCGCTATTTCAATTTTGTACTGACGTGTGTTGTTTTAGTACTGTTTCGGTACCAACCATACAAAAAACAGAACCTAAGAGCCCTCGTACTCCTTGTGTAGGCTCCATGAGATTTTAAAATTTCAATTAAAGTTTATGATAAAATTGCTTGGTGGGAGAACCGCCCTAATTGGGAAAACACAAATCTAATTGGTGATTCATTAAATGTAATTAATCGCTAAAGTATTAATTTAGAAATCGACTTTTACCCAGCAAACAAAAAGTGTGCTAGAATTGGCCAAAGATTGAGCAAAAATAGGCCAATGGAAGATTTAAACTAATGGTCAATGTTTCCACTATTTAATTGAGCAACATAACCATCCAATAATTGGCCAATCTTTGGGCAATTTGTTCGAATGTCAATATTTTTAGTCCAATTAATAAAACTTATATCTATTGTTAGAATTGTATAGATCTTTTATAAATTAACTTGTTTTCTTTATTTTTTCATATGTTCAGACCGCTTAACCTATAAATAGAAATTTAGACAAAAAATTTGTATTAAAGGGAAAAATTGTAATGCATACAAAATAATTAATTACTACAGTTCATTTTTTTTTAGTTGGTAGCTTATGCCAGTTTGATTTGGTTTTTTTAGTATTAAAAAAATGGTACTTCTGCTGAAGATCTTAATTAAATTAAATTATAGTATATAACACTACAATGGCCGAAAGTTGAATTTTTGGCCCTGCGCATCATGACGCGCAGGACCGAGATTTCAACGTTTGGCCCGTGTGGTATATACTATTTTTCTTCATACATCGGTCGAAAGTACTTACTTTAGTCCCTAATAGCAGGGACGAAAGTTTACCTCTGTCGAAAGTACGTACTTTCGTCCCTAATAGCACAGGGAGTAAATGTTAAACTTTCGTCCCTGCTAATAGGGACAAAAGTAAGTACTTTCGAACAAGGTATGAAGAAAAAGCCTTTTTTATATATGAATTAAATACTGACACTATCAAATTGGCAGTAATATTTATTATTGATAATTTACTTGTTAATTATTATATAATATCGATATAAAAAGATAATATGCCAAAAATAATATCAGATTCTAAAGTAAAAGAACTTTTAAGGGCAAAACTTCATTTCAATGAAGTTATGCCAAATGCCTCAATGGCAGAAAAAGTACGTCGCCTTATGAACATTTTTGGAGTAAAAAAGTAACGTTTTTGGTTTTACAAATATTAAATCACACATTAAATACCATATGTTAAATACCCATTCACCATTGGAGTCCAAGAATTGGACAACATTCACGTGTTCACATAAAATTTTAATTTATAGGAATACTCCTGGGCCTTTGTCACCTATATTTAACTACTTTTTTGTATGATTTTACTCATCTCACGCACCACCAAAGCCAAATGAATTGCATTTTTAACTACGAATTTTGACAACTCAACTTGACAACCGTTCAATGTAACCTACAATAATTTAAACATAACCACAATTACATTATAATTACATTTATAACTAGTTTAGTTTGTTTTAATAAATGCAACCAATTTTGGTTCCGTATTTACCAACCAAAATCCTAAACTTGCAACGTTGCCGCAGTTGAGATAAAAAAATGATCTTTAGCATGATACAAGAATTTGATAGCGTTTATCGAAAAGGAACCAAGCGCCAAAAACTTTTTCTGGGGTAAACAAAATTATTTGCAAAAAAAAAACAAAATTATTTGCAAATCATTTTTGATGCTGCTTAAAAAATTAATAATAATTTGGGAACTTTCTCAACTTTCTCCAAATGATGATAGCCGTTTGAGCATTATTAAATATGATTTATTTTACAAATAATTTTACTAAGCCCAGAAAAAGTTTTTATTAAATATGTTTTATTTTACAAATAATTTTACTAAGCCCAGAAAAAGTTTTTAGCGCTTGGTTCCTTTTCGAAAGGCGTTATCCAATTTTGTAATTAATCAGCTTTTTGGATTTTTTGTCCTTCTTACCTGTCGCTGTAATAGTTAGGGAGCTGGTGGCAGAAATTTTTAAGTCATTTGCTCGCGTGGCAGAAGTTGAAAATAATGAAGTTTGGATTATAAAAGTCACTAATGACAACTTCTGCCATACCATTATTGCTGCATTATTAATTAGTAGGTAATTAAATATGTAAAAAAAATGTCCTTAAGTCATTTGCTCGCGTCTGGCAATATTTTTTTAACTTGAAGACTTTCAGATAAATATCATCGCCAGACGTGTATGTCTCTGCATTAATGAGTATTTAATTTTTTTTTTAATTATGATATATAAAAATTTAAATGATTTGCTCGTCAATAAAATTTATACAAAATGTTAATTGGGTCATAAAAAAGCAAAAGCAAAGCAATACTTAAAAGAAAAACGCAGCGTCCTAGGTCTGGCAAATGTTTTTTTAGTATCTATGTTAAGTTAAGGGAACAAAAATGAGCAATTTAAAATATTTTTCTGCAAAATGCATACATACCTACAAGACTGGCATAATTTTTTTCTTATTTATGGGACAAAAATTAACAATTAAAAAATAAGACATATCATTTAAAAGAACATTTGTTTTTTACAAATTAACAATTGAAGACTACAAGGAAAAAACGTGCAAAGTCAATTTGGATATTTTTTGGTATGATAGCTAAAAAAGCAAAGATAATGGTATTATTTTTTTACACTTAACATTACTGTTTACCATAATGTTGTTTTAATAGAGTTCCTAAAAGCAGTTAGTTTTTAAAAGGACCCAGAGATTACACAGTATTCAAGTTTAAAATTGCTCTTCTAAAAATTTAAGTTTTTTGACTTTGCACGTTTTTTCCTATATTCCTCAAAATGTTTTTTTTTAGTATCTACATAGCCAATTTAACATAAAACCTAAATGGAAGACACGAGGAAAATGACTTAGGCTAGGTATTATTTTTTACAAGCCTGCCACCTTATTTACTTAGCATCAAAACTCTATAACATATCATTCCCCGACGAGCAAATCATATACCGAAATTGCCACCAGCTCCCTAACTATAACTGTTAATATCAATTACATTTGACATTGGCTGATAGACGCGCGATAATTTCAATTTTCAATTTTTTTTTATTTAATTTTACCGTTAAATTATGGTGTACACGCCCTAACTGAATTTAAGTAACGAAACAATGTATATATATATATATTAGGGTGTCCCAAAAAAAAAGAATTTATTTTTTTTTCTTGTCTCTTGTAAAAATATGTTAGGTTATCATGCTGTAAGAGCCCTTTCAAAATATCAGCTCGATTAAAAATTTTGTAGGGGTCGCTCAAGATTTTTAAAAATTTTCAAAATCGTCAAAAATTGAATTTTTGTTTTATTTTAATTCTTTTTCTCGTCTCGATAATATTTTTTAGGTTGAAGATAATAAAAATTCTGTAAATTTCAAATCAATATTTTGATTTCTAAAGGTCGCTAAAAGTTCGTTGATATTCAGAGGTCGCTCGAAAACATTCAAAATACTCTACTTTGAAAGTTAAAAAAATCTTGAGCGACCTTTAGAAATTAAAATATCGATTTGAAATTTTCAGAATCATTATTATTTTTAAGTTAAAAAATAATATCGGAACGAGAAAAAAAATTAAAATTAAAAAAAATCCAATTTTTGATGATTTTGGTAATTTTTAAAAATTCTGAGCGACCCCTAAAAATTTTTTAATGGGGCTGATCTTTTGACAGGGCTCTTAAAACATGACAAACCAACATATTTTCACAAGAGACGAGAAGAAAAAAAATATTCTTTTTTTTTTGGGACACCCTAATATATATATATATATATACAGTGTGGAACTCACTTATGGAATAAAATTCGTTATTCGTTGAGAAAATATTTTTATGAAAAACGCTCGGACACGTAAGTTTTTTATTCCAAATCTTATAATGATAATTTTAAATTTTATGCCCCCACCATTTCCCCCCCGCACATTAGGCACCCTTATCTTAAATAACAACCCCACTTTTTTTCATCGAAAATTGATAGTGTACGACGATACCACATAAGTAGGGTTTAGTAACCCTAATTTTCAATACAGGGTGAATATTTAAAAGTTACAAGTATGAATTTTTTATGTTATTCTATGATTTAGTTTAATACTGCTTTTTCATGGGCGGTTTTAAAAGTTAAATAA